TACCAGCTTTCAGTGGTGGTTTTTTTTTTTGAGTATACCAGGCAAGATATGGGAGGGAGGGGTACCCCCCTTACCTGTCCAATCCCTATACACGCTCAAGACTATTGTTACCTAACACATCCCCCCAGAAGTCCATAAAGAATTCCTGAGATTCCCATCAAACAATTACTAACACAAAGGCGGGGGGGGGGTGTCTCTCTGTCCCATATCTTGCTTCAAATGTTTTGGAGGGGAAAGCTTTTGTTAGCCTTGTTCAATATCCATTCATCTGGTTTTTTGGGGGGGGCACCAGGAATTTGTGGGGGGGATGTGCCCCCAGGCCCCCCCGTGGCTGTGCCACTGTCTCCAACAGCTCTGTAGATCATTCCTTCTGTGTTAAAAACAGTTGTACAATAGTGTGAGGCATGGTGTTGTAGAGATATTTTGAAGGGATAATGATGTTTAGGCAATAGGACCTGGTTTCCGGGAATTTTTGGGCAGTTTCTGCTGAGAAAAAATTAGCAGAAAGTTGAATTGTGAGAGGAAATTATGGATTCGTGAGATGATACCGAGAAATTTTATGCAAAAAGAAGCAACATTTTATGAATTAGAAGGTTGAATATTGATGTAAATTGATATTTCTGGAACTAAACTCACTTCTCCCTTGATGAGATTTTAGAGAAAAATGAAAGTTCTTTTCAAAAGTGGAAAATCCCGATATTGTATATTCAAGAATGGAAGTGTCCTCCAAGAAGTTTGCAAGAAAAGTACTGAAAATTACTGTAACTTATTACAAGAATGACAAAGTCCACTCTTTTCTAGTTCCACTTATTCTTGCCGTGAACATCTTTTTCCTAATACTGCAGAGGATAGCCGGCAAGAGTTTTAATCTGGTCAGCTTTGGTGCCGCACTGTCCGGTGCCCTGGACTTGGATGGTAACAGCTATCCTGATCTGATCGTCGGCGCGCATCTGAACAACTCGGTGGTTTATCTCAGGTAAAAGCCCTGGGTGCTCTTCTTGGTCAGAAACTTTCTTCGTTGGGGGCTTTAAAGGACAAACTTTGCACCGGACCTTTTTTCCCTTGTGATGTCATTTTCCTTTGAACAGATGTTTGTTGCGCCTATATTTGTGCATGCTTGAGGGTAAAATTTCCGAATTCCAAGAGTCCTGTAGCATTATGTCACACTTTGTTCACGTGGACTCTTTCCTATGGGGGCTTGATGGATGGCTTCCCCTCTCACCAATACAGGTATGACTCGGACTCGAGTCACTTTGACAAATAACTCGGACTCGAGGCTGCGCACTCAATCTTGGACTCAGACTCAGTGTTTCATGACTCGGATACGACCCACACCAATTTTTTGGGCCGTTAAAAATCGGTCCCCTCGGTTTTAATTTTCTGACAGGACCAAGCCGGTCATTTACATGCAAGCCCAAATGGACCTATCACCTCCTACGCTGGTACTCCGCAATGCCAGTGACGTCAGCAGACAGCCCATCACGTGCACCGTGAGTTTCTGCATGACGTACAGCGGTGTCAGTGTGAACTCCTCCCAAGGTGAGGACCTCCGCTGCTCAGTCAGTGATTAGGCCTGCACCTGTGCGGGTCTCAGTGGAACCAGTTACCCGTTTTCCCGTCAGTATACTTTGCTACAGCTGTATACAATGCCCTTTCTGTCTTTGTAGATGTCGTATACACATTGGAAGCTGACACCAAGGTGTCATCCATTCTGCAGTCGAGGGTTTACTTCGGATTGTCAGTTTCGACCTCAACTGTTGAGGAGATGATTTCCCTGGTTACCGGTGCCCAAAAGTGTCTCAACCATACCCTAACCGTCAAGGTAATGCTTTTCTATGTTCACGCTGTTTTTCTGTAGCCGTCACTGTGCATATTCCAACCATTTACTACGGTGCGTTTCCAGATGGTTTTGAGGCCATTTGAGCCACAGTTCTCTTTGAAGTCAGGCCTTTACAAACTCTAGAAGATTCTGCATGAATGGTTTTACGCATTCGACCGCTTGACCTGGATTAATTTGTTTTTCTGGGTATTGTTAGAACGGGGTCAACAGAACTGCAATTAATACGCACTCGACCACTCTCTCTCTTCAACCCCAGAGGGTCGGGGGTTCGAATCCAGCCACCGGCCCTCACCTTCGAGTAGTGCCGGCATTAGCCAGGTAGCAACTCGCAATGCACTGGCATCCCGTCTGGAGAGGGAATGGACATATTCTCAGTTGATTTACATGTATGCCAGGGAAAACCGGAGATCGGTCGGCAACTAGTGATGAGCCGAATCAGCTTAAAACAGGCTTGTTCAATACACCTTCAACTGAGAAATCACAGCCATTGAAAGTGACCACCGATCTTGATCAAATGCCAACCTCATTTGAACTCTTCTGTTTCAGAGCTTTGTGCAGGACTTTCTGAATCCCATCACCGTCCAGCTGTCTTACCGGCTGAGGGATAGCAGTGACCCGTTGGCTCCCGTGCTGAGCCCGTCATCATCGAGTGGAATTCAAAAAGAGGTAGGAATCGTTCGGCGGGGACGTTGCTGTGGGCCTCCCTATTCCTTTGCCTCTGTCTGAAAACAGTCATTCCCCACTGAAAACTTTTTACTGACTAAAATGAGCCTCCAACATCTTGAAATCTTGATTCTAGCAGGGTATTTTCTCCCAGACAGAGTCTCCTAACTGCTCTGATATCTGTCCTTCAAATTGATGAATGGGAAGAGCCACCAATGTAGTGCTGGATGGCTCAGTTGGTAGAGCACCGGTATGGTATTCCGGAGGATACAGGTTCAAATCTGGCTCCAATCAATTTCTTTGCTATACATATAACCCCCTAGTCAGTTTCTCTTTATAGTTTATTTCACAATTTTCTTCTTCGAAGCTGAAATATTGAGACTGAAGTGTCTTTGTTGCTCATCGTTTAATAATCAGTGATGTAATTTTGCTTTTAATAAAGTGCCCGGAGGGAAGGGCACCTTCCCTTTTTTCTTAACACCAATTAATGTCACTCTAATTGCCCTTGTAGTTGGCATTTGCCAACCCACACTTTTCAAAAGCAATTGACATTCCTACGACACCACTCTCTCTCTCTTCCACTCTACGTAGAAAACTGAGAGAACAAACTCTAGTCTGCAGATCGCGCGTCAACCTTCCATTCATGAAAATTGAAATCTGTTGTCAAAGCCTTTCCACCTTTCTTCCAATATCACGAATGTCACCCTACCCTGTCTTAAACTCTGCCTCACAGATCGGTTTTGCCAGAGATTGTGGTTTGGACGACATCTGCGAAGCAGATTTGCAGTTCGTCAATTATTCTTACAGCCTCTTGAGGTTAGTGAAATCTAAACCCTTTCATGATTGAGGGCAATTTTCTTGTAAATTGTAACTTTTAGGCTTGACCCATTCTTTTGTATTATAAAGTGACCTTTCTCATTGCACACTTTCTTCAGAACCTAATGGGACAACCGGCTTGTGTGCCTAGATTAAGCCATGCATTCGTTAGAAACTGGACAACTTTGAAAGCATAATTTGAACCAGCACTTTCTTTAAGCATTGTTTGTGGCGTACAATTTCAGTGGTCGGGAGGACATCTTTTTGGGAGCTGATTCTATTGTCTACATCACTGCCAAGATAGCCAACGTTGGGGAGGAGGCCCACCGTGCCAGGCTGGTCATCACGCACCCAGAGAATGTGGTCTACGAGGCCGTGGGAACGCTCGCAGTAAGGAATTTATTAAGAGGCCAGAGTATTTTTTTTTTAGCTAGGATTGTGCCCAAAAATGGCCTTTCCACACTGCAGACTTATCTTCGATTTTGCACAGTGCAGGGGGTGCATCCAAGGGGGTATGAGGGGTGCACATGCCCCTTTTTCAATTAATTAATATATAAATAAATTAAAAAGAAAAAGACAGGTCATACTGCCTGATATTGCACCACAGAGCGCCTAGAAGCCAAAATGGACCAGGACCCCATGCCATAAGGGCTTCTCACCACAGGTTGACAGGCATTTTACCATTGCTGCTTTAGTTCAATCCCCCCCCCTTTTGGAAAATCCAGAACCACGCCCCTTTTAGTAAAATCCTGGATTTGCCCCTGCAGGGTGACACATTTTAATCCATCAGCCGCCCCCGATGTGGCTAACTGCATGCATTGTGCACATGTATACAGATAGCCACATCCTGTTTACACGTCCCACGTTGCAAAGTGCTTAAAGTGAGGTACACGGCTTTGATTAGACAGCCTTGATCAAGGCTACAATCGGCTTATAGCTGTTGCATACTCTCTTCAGACTACAGAGCTGATGCCAGTGAAATGCGAGCCTGTGTCCTTGGAGGACGGCAGCAATCCGTACGTGGACTGCAGCATTGGGAATCCGCTGAAGAGTAACGGCGAGGTACAGTGGGATACTGGGCAAGGGGTTTTACCTGGCAGGGGTTCAAACCTTGGACCGGCTGATTGCAAGCTAGTCTCACATGCCACGACACATTAATGTTTTCAGGGTGAAGATACGAGGATTAAATTTTTCCTAAGCTTTGTGGTGTATTTTGTTCAGAAAGTAATTTGCAAGATTTTTCACAAAGTTTTTTGGATCAGTTGAATATTATTTATAGCATCCTGTTTAATATTTTAACTCTGAACTTTGTGAAAAAGTTGTGATGTGAATGGTAAATTATATTTTCTGTATTTATTATTAATAATCATTTCTGGTAATGACACCAAGGATTCCTCAAAAGTGTCCTCGGCACTGTAGCTCACAAGCCTGAAGAAACCTGTAGAGAGGAGATAATGAGAAGCAGTCACAGGTTTAGAGGTGGGAGGAAAACCCCAGAGGAATATTCTGGGTAAAACCCACAGAGCCAGGGATTGAAAACCCAATCCACATGTGGACCGGGCCGGGATTCGAACCCAGACCGCAAGAGGTGGGAGGCGAGGAAAGAACCACGACACCCACCTGACTCCCCTGCAGGAGAAATGATGTCTTGGTATCAAATCACAGTTTGATTGGAATTTCAAGAAATAAGCATTTTTTTTATTGTCACTGCTGACTGAAATTCTGTGAAATGATGACTTTTCAACATCCAGGTGACCCTGCAAGTGCGTATGGACATCGGTAACTTGGCACCAAGCCAAACTGACTTGAATGTGTCGCTGGTTCTCTCCACCAGCAGCACTGAGCTTGAGTTGGGGGACAATGAGGCACTGGTCACCATACCAGTCACCGTACTGGCAGACGTGACCGTGAAAGGGTCAGTGTAGGACCGATGGTCAGATAACTGGGCAGCATGGGGAGTGGTCGGAGGAGGTCTTGTGATCGTGAGGTTGCACAGGGATAAAAATGTCGTACCCATGTGCAACTTTTTTTTTGCATAATCAACAACATTGCCTGAAGATCAAACCCGATACACAAAATATGCCTTACGTTAGATTTAGATTTCCCAACTAGATGCATTTGGTTGTAGGCATACAAGCTGCCATGTTAGTTTGGAGTTAAAACAGTCGGGAGTCTGTGTTTATTTACTAAGGGCTGGTATCCAGCATTTACAAAAGGGGTTCCCCAAATAGAAGTGTAAATTTTGAAATGTGAGCAAGGCAGGTAATAAAATAAACAATAGAGAACGGAACAGAAAGCAGATGAAAAACGTAAGGAATCTCTGTTCAAAACAGATTTGAAAAAAATTGGGATCTACCTCCAAGTATATGGGACAACTCGGGTTTTGAGTTCCAAACGAGTTAAAGGTTGTGACACTTATTTCACAGGGATCTGGATCTCAATCAGTGATCCCGTTGCTGGTTCACTCCATCCATTCGGTGGGTTCTGGTTTCAGTGAACCAACGATGGCTAATATTAATCGAGAGCGATTGGGATCTGTGTGAAAATAAACGGGCCCACAATCTCCTTGAGATCATCGAGTGTAGTGTTTGTAACATTTGCATTGGGTGGGCACAGGGGGCTGACGGTATGCCGGATGCTCCATCAAGTTTCCATCTCCCCTCCGTTTGGTCTTGCCCAGGGATGTTTGTCTGAAAAGGAGCTGTGTCGTTTTCTTTTTTGGTCTACGATATTTGTGCAGGGCATTCACTCCTGAGCAACTTGTGTACAGACAAGACAAATACAACTTGAGACAGTACTTGGGAGATGTCTTGGCAATTGTCCAACGTCTGCGCGACGCCCAGACACTGTCGACTCCCGCCGACCCACCAGTAGCCTTTAATGTAGGCAGGGACAGGCCGGAGGGCGCTGTCAGCATCACAGAATCGCCGCTAGTCATAGGCACGCCCAAACTGAGCGACCAACCGGACCAAGACCGAGACCTGGAGGAGAACGTTGAAACGTTTGTCAACGATACGGAGATCGGGCCGACATTTGTGCAGAAGTTAGAGGTACGGGTGCAGCATAGTCAGTAATATCACAGAGTTTGCTAAGTGAAGGAACTTTTTTGCTTACCAAGTATTGGTTGCCAGCCAAAAGGCAATGCCATATACTCTGCCTTTGACTGGCACCCAGTTGATGTTTTGCTTAGCATGGGAGTCTGTTACGTAAAATTGCCCACTGTGTGTGTACCTTGGGCAGATTTGGAGGGGGGCACAGTGAGGGTCATGCCCCCCCCAAAGAATTATAGGGTAAATTTCTTCATTTCTGACAATTACTGAGGCATTGAATGTTGAAATTTGAAAATAGCAGGAAAATAACATCTCTTCTTCTCCTATTAAAGTGACGCCTTTTGTAAGCATGGCAAAATAGTACTTTGAAAAACGATCTCAATCTTTTGTCCTGTACTAGATCAGTAACTTGGGGCCAGGTCGTGTGCCTTACGCTAGCGTGGTGAATGTCTCCATCCCGTGGAGAACACCCAAGGGAGACTGGTTGATCTTTATCACTCAGGTGCAGGTAGGTTAGCACCAACTCAGATAATGTGGTCTCCATCCTCCTTTTGAAATTTAGAATCCAGGGAAAGCACCCTCCAGCGTCAGTTCCAGTTTTTTTTCAAACATCTAAGGGAGCTAGATAAGTCTCGGGGATGTAGGCTGGCTTGGTTCCAAGGGGGTGCAATTTTCAAGAAAGCGGAACTCCAATTTCCAGCATTTAAACGAGGAAGGCAAGTGCACATGTGAAAAGAAGATTGCCCAGATGCATGTATTTGTTATTCAAAAGAACGATGACCGAAAAGTAAAATATTCGGTCATTGTGTATCAAAACCCCATGTACTTTCACTTTAATAGAATAACATACTGCTGTTTGCAAGATGTATTTTTGCGTTGGGGAGATGTTAATTATATATAACGGTTTGCCCGTACCCAACGTATATTAATAAGCACTGTATGCTCAGTGCACTGAGCATACAGTGCTTATTAATATACGTTGGGTACGGGCAAACCGTTATATATAATACTGCTGTTTGGTTTAAAAAATGAAAATATGAACACCTCAAGCTGAGCTCCCTTCTGCTGGCGGGGGTGGTCCGCAGCCCCCCTCCCCATTCTATGCCCTTGGGTCTTGTGCTCGGTCTTATGACTGGTCTTATGTCTAGTTTTGTGTCTGGTCTTGTGTCTGGTCTTGTGACTGGTCTTGTGTCTGGTCTGGTGTCTGGTCTGGTGTCTGGTCTGGTGTCTGGTCTGGTGTCTGGTCTGGTGTCTGGTCTGGTGTCTGGTCTTATGATGGTCTTTGACTACGCCACTGTCTCTCACATATCTCGCCCCGCTTCTTGTTGACTCAACAGGGCAGGGACGGTGTTGAGGCCTGCAACCTTGAGAGCTTGCTGGAGGAACAGTACCAAGGCATCTTGACGTTTTACAACAAGTCATCAAATGCCAAAGTGGACAGGAGCGATAGGACGAATCAGGAGAGAGAGAAAAGGGGCACATTGAAAACCACCTTTGTGAGTGCTGCCTCGGAAAAATTCTGATTGGTTTTCAATTTATATTTCTTGTGTTTTGGAATGAATTTTTGGGGGGGATTTTTACTTGTACTGTCTTCCTGTTGAATGCACAAAGTCTCTTTGAGTTAAAGCAAGGCTACAACTTGGGCGAAATTTATCAGGGGCACTGAAAATGGAAGGGTGAAGGTAATGGAAACAGGGACGGATCCAGGGGGGAAAAAAAAGAGAATATTTACGAGGAATCGGGTTTTATAATCAGTTTGCAATCCTGGTCGGTTTCAGGACTGCACTTCGGCGGAGTGTGTAACCGTACAATGTGAGATTGAGCCCCTGGCTGTTAGAGGCAGTTCTGTGATTGAGGTCCACGCTCGTCTCTGGAAGTACTCCTTCTTAAAGGTGGGAAGTTGTGCACTATAAGCAAAAATCAGCCGTGAACCAGTCAAGAGATGCATAGAATGCATAGCAGTTTGGTCGGTAACCAGTTCTTTGCCGAGCTCAAATTTTCTCTGCTTAGATCCCTGTGCATGTGACACGAACCCCAACTGTGGGCCTAGTTTGGCTTCTTCTTTGGCTCAGTTGTGGCGTTAACACTTTACCGATGCACTGTGGTTATGAACACTGTATATCTTGCACAAGAACCTTATAGTTTGGCGGACAAATGTTTCCTGAATGACCCAATCAAAAACTGGCACTTCAAAGTTTCCTCAATGTACCAGAACGAACTAGATCTTAAACTTTGAACTCCCTTCCTTGTTCTCTGTGGCGCCTTTAACAGGGACTCTCTTGTTGAGGTTATTGAAACAGATTCCCCAGATTTTGTTGTAATGGACCTTTCCCATGAAATATGCAAATTGGACGGGCACATGTGCGCTACTACCGCTGGTTGGCAAGTGCTGCCATCAACGCTGTCGGTAGCGTAGGCGAGCTGCAAGTAACCATAACCTGGAGCATTGACGGTCAATCAAAACCACATTACAGCCTTTGCCCGATACTTCAGCACGTTTTTCTCGAAACTGAGTGAAGGTTTCAGTGTCCTGAGGTTGGAAATTAACAATTCATGGTCTTTAACTTTGGCAGACATGTCAAACTATACTAGCACAGAAATGATAGTGGCGCACGCATGGAGATTTGTATTGTTACGTCAGAGATATAAGCAAGTTTGCCAACCCGTGGTAGTAATGCGCAAGCACCTGTCTTATTTGCATATTTCATGGAAAAGGTCCAAAATTTGCCCAACCCCTCCCCCCAAAAAACCCTACCTCGTTCCCTCCCCATTCAAAAAAACACCCTTTCAGATGCTGGCAAAGATGATTAGACGGGAAATCAAGGTCCAACCTTTGTCTGGACGACCTGTAAACATTTTCGTCCAGCATGGCACCTGGTTTTCCACTGTTCTGTGTTTGTTCATTTCAGTCTCGCTTTGGATTGGTCACAATGAAGACTAAGGCTGTGCTTGAAGTAAAAAATCCCCAGGATCTGTTCTCGCAGCCAGACGGCCACTTGCCAGACGAGACCACCGTAAGTCAACGAGAGCCGTTTCGTTAAGCTGCATGAACAGCAAGCTGGTGCGCAGACCATCTGGCAGATGTCCCAATACTTTCATTTACTTTCAAGCAAATTCCACCCGGTGTAAAAGTCTATAAATTGAGAAGGTTTTAGGGCCTGAGGTTTTTGATTTGAGCAGAATTCTTTCAAAAAGTTTCTCTAAGGCAAATTGGTCCACGTCTGTTCTTGGCGTGGTCTTTTGTGCGCAGAGCTGAAATCGAGCCCAAATTAAGTACCTCATAGGCCTTAGGCTCCAGTGCTCTGTAGGTTTGAAGCGCAGCACTAATTTCTTTGTGCTGGTATGAGCAGAAGCCTTTCATTTCATATTGATCCAAAGCTTTACAACTTAAATCTGACTTCATAAACGCCCCAGACAGTTTAGCCCGGATCTATACTCACCTGCGGCTGAAAATGTGTGTTGTATGGAAGCCACTTCCTATTCTCTGAAGCTTTTTCCCATTGCCAGTGTAACGTCGCCTGCCATAGCCGGGTAACTGGCTCCTCACTGATAGATCGGGATGCATAGCACCCTCTTTGGTTAGTGCAGTGCTATTATCCTGACATTTTGGCTCGGTTCCCATTGACAGGTCAAGATCACCATCTCAGCCCAGGACATCGAAACGCCCAAGCTGCCCCTCCCGCCCTGGGTCATTCCCGTCAGCATCTCTGTGGGTATCTTCCTGCTGATCCTGATAGTGACTGGCATGGCTTGGGTGAGCCCTTTTGCAGATGGTATCTTCTAATCCTATTTGCTCCGTGCATGGCCCGTTGAGGGCAGCACATAATTACTTCTGTGACCATGCAATCAGAGAGTGAAAGCAAACTGCGGACAGGGTCCTCTTCAGTTTCAGTAGAATTTTTCAAAAGACCAAGGTCACTAGGATGTAAAGTGACCTCAAGTTTTGGGGACCCAGAAGTTGGCTTGAGAACTCTCAGTCTGATAACCATTATCGTGAATGTTCCAGATTTTTTACTGAAACATGACAGGCTGGACTCGACCTTGTCCAATCTTGAGATTCATCAATCAGAAGGCATGCCACTTGTCAACTCCTTCATAAATTCATCAACTCCACTTGCTCTTGACATTGCAAATTTGAATTTGAGGTCGACTTATCAAATGCTCACCCAGTCCAACTTCCTGATGAATTTCGCTCATCGGCTCCCCAATTGCTCTCTCTTTCTCTCAAAATCATGCACAGGGGGGGTTCTTTCAACGGAAGAAAGCCGAGAAGCTGAAACAGATGAGGCAGAGCCTAATTCAGGCCGACCAACAAGAGGAGGAGCTTCTCCAGCCAGAAGGCGAGGCCAAGGGCTACCCGGATAAGAGTGAAGCCAGATACAGCTGAAGTCGCCATGTGTGTCACCAGGATTGTTTCCTTGGGGAAGTACTTTAAACCATTAAAAGTTGAAAGGGGTCAATTTCTATTTTTTTTTTCAAGGAAGTTTGTAATTTTCATCCCTTTTTGTCTTTTTTTTCATTTCTTTCAATTTTTTCCCTCATTCAATATTATCCCACTTCTACCCTTTTGTGACGCCCATAAAATTTCCGTCAAGTACATCAGCCAAGGAGACACTGTGAACAATTTGGGCGATTGGCAGTGGAGAAATAATACCCACCAGGGGCCCAAAATGCTTTGTTATTCTCAGTGCACCCTGAGAAAGGTCGACATCTAATTCCAACCTTGACCCAATGGTGACTCTTTATTTTCTTTTGCATATGCGTGCTTTCATTTTAAATTGTCTTCTCTCTGAATAATCTTAATATATATACAACGTATTAGGCTTGGTTGTATACATAATTTGGCTATTTAAAAATCTGCATAAATATTCATACATCTTATACAGCTATTTAAAAACAAATTTTGTTATGCAATTGAGGGCGCTCTTTAGTGTTTTTACTTGCAAGGTTAACCCCTTGGAGGTTTCTATTTCTCCAGTCTAATTTTTGGGGAAAATTTCGAAACGGACAAAACTGCAAATATGGCATTTAAAAGCACCAGAGTACATCAAAGTCATCACAGAATACATTCCTCAATTGTTTGGTTGTTCTGGGTCGAATTTCAATTAAATTACAAGGCTAAATAAACCCTCATAGCTTTTTCTCCAATTTTGGAGGAAATTCCTTTCAATGGGACTAAAGAGTGTCAAAACACATTTCCCAGGTGTCAGAGGAAAAATCGGGGTTTGACCAACTTTGAATAAAACTGCAAGGCTAACCCCTTTGCAGTTTTGTTTCAAATTTCTGGTAAATATTAAAACTGGACTACACGGCACAGAGAGCATGTGTAAGTGCCAAGGTACATCAAATTCATTTCAAAATACATTACTCTGTTCGAGTAAAGCTCATTTTTTTTAAAACCTAATTTGAATGAAATTACAAGGCTAACCCCTTGCAGCTTTTCTCCCCAATTTTGGGGAAATTTTTTTTGAACTGACTTGAGTATATAGAAAAGCATCTAGAAGTGTCAAATTGTATCAAATTTTTCCTGCAATGCATTTTCAATTTGTTAGAGAAAACATCAGTTTTCAACCAAATTTGAATTAAATTGCAAAGCTAACCCCTTGTGGGTTTTTTGTTCAAACATCTATACAAAATTTAAACTGGACTAAATTTCACAGAAACCATGTAGCAGTGTCAAATAGTTTTCTGAGTTGTTAGAGAGAAAAAAAATTAGTTTTGACCGAATTTTAATGAAATTACAAGGCTAACACCTTGTAGCTTTTCTCCCCAATTTTGGTGAAATTTTTTTTGAATGGCCTAAAATCCATAGATAGCATTGTCAAATACATCAAATCCTGTCTCAAAATACATTTCAGAGTTATTAGAGAAAATGTCAATTTTTGACCAAATTTAAATTAAATTGTAAGGCTAACCCCTTGTGGTTTGAATTTTGAGTTGAAAAATGAGAAATTTAGAAGTTGCTGGAAATTGCTCATAATATTTTTTTGAGATAAAGGAAAAGAAATGAAGGTCTAAAAACTCTCCGCCTCCTCTGAAAATGCATTTCAGGGGGATTGGAAGAAAAGTCCAATCTTGGCCAAATTTGAAATAAAACAGCAAGGCTAACCCCTTGCAGTTTTACTCGAATTACAAGCAAAATGAAACCTGCAAAATGAATGACACTCAAAAGCAGGGACGGTAAATCATTGCAATTGAAGCCATAAAATAAACATTTATTCAGGAATGTCGTCTTGATATCACTTTCTTTTTTTACATCTTTGACTTTCGATGCACCGTTTTGCATCACACTCATCACAGTGAAATGGTTCGGCGCCTTTCCAATATGTCTGTCTTTTGGCCTGTTCTGTACCTGCATCTGTTCATGTTTCACTCCGTTACGATTTCAATGAACACTCGGCAACGTGTGCCTGTGATCACGTGGCCCACCAAAAATGTGTCTATGGAGAGGCGCCTGCATGCGTCATCGATACTGGATAATCCTTTTTTAAACCTTCGTATTATATGTTTCGACTACTTAGGATTAGTAGAAACTGTGCCAAATTATATGTATATATATGTTGTATTTCTTTCAATTTCATTTAAGAGTTAAATATACTTTCCAATGGAAAGTCATCCATTCTTTGTTTGTTATAAAAACCACAGCATGTCAACTCTTATTGAAAGCAGTGCTATTGTTAAAGATTTATAAACACAATGTACAAAATATGCACAACTTTTATAGACAGACAATAAACCGATGCCAAGCTGCAGATCTTAAGCTAAATATGTTCCAACAATGCTTATTTCTATGTGTAGTTACCGACAATTAATGCCACACACAGCTTTGAAGTCTACTGCTGAATGGTTATGGAAGCATTTCTCGCCACATTCACCGACTTTCTGTAGCAAATACCAGTTCATGAAGGAAACTGTTTCAAAATTATGCATGGCATATTCAGTTATTTAGAAAGGGATTATTCTCAAATGAAATTGAATGCACCTGTATTAGAATGTCTCTCTGTATATACAAAATTAGATTATTACGTCACTTTGATATTGGAAAAATCTAAAAGAACAAACAGAAATATGAATAGTAAAGTTGCATTTCAATGTGGTATTTACAATGTCCAACTTTTGTCCCCCGCTGAACAATGAGTGAAAGTATTTCATGTGGACATCACAAGCCATTTCTGTTGTGCGACAAGTCTTTGGCGGGTTTCTTCCTTAACCACTTGCTGCTGGGTGGTTTGAAAAATGCGGCGCACAAACACGAGCCATTTTCAAGATTTTCAGTTTTCAAAATTCCTCAAAAATTCCTCATTTCCATTTAACGGACATTTACACCCACACGAATGACTGTCTGGTGGCTACTCTAATCTGACAGACAAAATCTATTGATGCCCGAGTACTTCAGCCAGGCCTGCAGCCTTGTAAAAAAGAATACGTGTCCGGTAACGGCAGCGGCAAGTGGTTAAGGCAAAAATTGGCAAATGTATCTCAAAGTGCTACTCCGTCTTTGTGCTCATTCAGTTGGAAACTGTGTGGGCAACTCATAATGAGAGGGTGCCGGCTGCACCCTCGCGCTGTCTTTTACAAGTTGGCTGAGCAGTGCCCGTCTGTTTCACAAATCAAAGGCAGGGCTGTTGTAAACAGTTGCGAGATGGGAAGAAATCTACCAGAGTGCGTGGGCGTGGCATAAAGGGCAAAGGTCATTCAGACTGAGAAGTGATCACCCTGGTTGTGCTGCGACTTGAGCCTTTCATGTTTCCACACACAGACATGGCCAAAAGTGCAGGTCAAAGGTCACAAACAACCAATGAAGTTACACAAGATTTCCAAAAGTTGAATCAACTCTAAAACCTCGCCATGCTGCACATGTGATTGAAGAGGTTTCTATGCTCACACAATACCTGTGGAAGTTGAACGTGAAAGTTCGAAGGTCATTCTGACAGCCAACAGGATGTCACATCCGGTGTCATGCGATCAGTTGCTGCCACTCATCCTGTGGTTGAGGGACTCGGCGACGTCGTCGATGACTTTGACTGCTGCTACAGGAATTCTTGTCCCTGGGGATAAAAAAGTTTAAAATGTGGAAAAAAAATTATCTTTCTTTTTTAAAGGAAACTGACAAGAATGGTGTTACATCTGTGCTGCCTTGATCAATCAAACTGACGGAAGTAAGATTTGGACCTTAAACTTCCCATTTCATCTCCGGTTGAATTCCCAGTAATCCCTGTAAACAATCCTAACTACGCAAAAACTAGGAACAATGCTTGGCAAGTTATTGACACATTGTTGAAAATATGTGGGTCACAGCAATGCTGAATCTGAACCAGTGTTCTAATCGACACCATCATAAGACCCTTCACAAGTCCAGTATCAAGTAACAGAGTGAACAATGTCAAAGGAATGCTTTTGATGCCGTTCTTTTGAATGGCTTGTGACTTGAATTCAGACTGGAGGTCTTGTGTTGCTCTTGTGATGGTCTTAGGAGGTCTCGACTACAACAACGAATCCTGATCCCAAGTGAAGACTGGCCGGATCAGGAATGGGCTTCCAGAGCTATGGTTAGTCAGTTACTTGTATACACAGCACGTGCCCACTTATTTGTGACAAGCAAGGAACCAGACCTTACTCTAGACCCACATTTCACATGTGGCTTACCTCTTTTTAACATTTTACCCTATAAAACTTGAACAAAGTGTTTGAAAATGCAAAAACCGAGGTGATAGAAAAAATTAAGACACACAAAAAAAAATCAACTGACCTGGTCCAAAAATGCTCTTGACTCCTTTTTCATAGAGGAAGTCGTAGTCCTGTGGAGGAATGACTCCACCAACAATCACACAGATGTCCCTGAAAAGCATGGAGGAAGGCGGTGAGAAACAAATCAGCATATCAATTTGGAAATTTACCCGAGCAAACTACTGTGAAGGATCAGATCGTTTAAAGGGCAGCCAACTCTCAGACTGAAGTCTAGGTATTTCCATGCTTTCACGCCCACAAGGGATTTCTCGCACCAGAAAAGGTGAAGCAAAAGCAGTAATGAAAACCTGTATTTTTCCGACCCATCTTTGCCCTGTCTTTAATGAACACCGACAACCTTTCCTGGTCCGTTCATGGCTCATTCCTAGTAACATATGAGTAACTTGATTGGCAGCAGCAATGTTACGCATGATTTGTGCGTACAGAACACACAGCCAGGGTTGACGTTGGAAGCCCTGTGCTCTGAAATTGCCAAGAGTGGTTGCCGTGACGTGCGGTGTGCTTTCAGGAATGACAAACGTGAACCGCTTCTTTTCTGATTACACCAGGAGATTTACAAATGCTGTGCGATGGCATGCAAAACAACCACGGCCAAGTTTAGTTCAGACAAATACATCCGGGAAATCTTGGATACCAGATCATAGGCTGAGTATACAACATGACCTGAAATTTCAAAGTCGCGGGGTCTGTGTAACCAACGGCAGATCTAGCCATTTTGTTAATAATTTTGGGGGGGAGATTTGCCAATCTCTTCACGTAATCTTAAAGGTTTCAAAAAGGCTAAGTTTGAGAGCATTTGACACACTTTTGGGAGGGGAAGAAAATGAAAAATTACAAAGTAATTCTCCATAAATTCCCCCCCCCCAAAAAAAAGCTGACTGGGTTTTTTAATGGGGATCATGGCCCTGTTTCCGCCCTCCTCGATCCACCTGTAAATTTAAAATGACTTCAGTGAGGATTAGATGAAAGGCAACAAAAGCACGTTAACAGTCTGAGCCGGGTCAAATTAGACACACAGTGGCTGTGACTTCAGCTCTTTGCCGTGAAACCACTTGTGGAGAGTGGCTGTCACAGCCGTTTCGGATGCGACCTAGGACTCACCCTCGGCCCATGTTGTTGAGGGCTCTGATCAGCTCGGGCACCAGCGTCTTGTGGCCAGCTGCCAGGGTGCTGACCCCCACCACGTGCACATCCGAATCGATGGCCTGCTGGGCGACCTCCTCGGGAGTCTAGCGATTAAATATCGATACTCAGATCTCATTTCCACAAGGGCAAATTTAAAAAAGAAACCAATGCACGTAAATGCAAAGTTCTCGCAAACTTAAACATATATATATATCACTGGAAAACTTTCAAACAGATCATAAAAAAGGCAGGGCCTGACATTCCAGTCCTGACAAATCGATTTCATTTCAAAGATTCTGCCGGGAAGCCTTGACAAGTGAAAAACAATTTCAATTTATTCATCGTCAGATTTTGAGACGCTGTTGAACTGACATCCTCTCAGCAAACCAAAACATCTGATCATGCCCCACTTAGGTGAACAAGCAAAAGTTGCCACTGCGCCGTTGCTCCGCACATCTTCAGCGAGTGGCAAAGGCATACAAACAAATTGGGAATCGAATATCTGTGATGCAGAAACCTGTCTAAAAATGATCGTGATTTTTTGGCAAATACTCTTGGGGCATTCTTCTGAGCTTGAGAGAAACGTTTCACTAAAACACAACATGTTCCGAACTGTTTTATAAGTGCAACTGGTTTTTCTGGAGCCGCTGTACTGAAGTTTAACAAAATCTTGTCATGTTTAAAGCCAAATTTATTGATTTATTTCTATCTGTTCATCCAACGGCGCATTTAGCGCCAATTACAGGATGAAGTGACAATGAAAGAAGACGATGAAGACATGTTCATTTTTATTAGTGAGAGGAAAACCCCACATGAATACTCCAGGGAAAAGTTCACAGAATCAGGCAGGGACTGAAAACCCAATCCACATGCTGACCAAAGTAGGATTCGAACCCGGGTCACTGAGGTGGAAGGCGAGGAAAGAGCCACTACAACAACCTAGCTCCTAAATATTTTTGAATAAGGACTTTTGGAATGAGGACGCTATAGAACTGATTTGACCATCTGTGCAACGGGATATTCTGACGTCGGTTGATTACCTGGAAGAGAGGGCCAATGTCCACGTCAAAGCCGAGATCGGCAAAGCTGGTAGCAACCACCTTGGCCCCCCTGTCGTGCCCGTCCTGGCCCATCTTGGCCACCAGGATACGAGGCCGACGTCCTTCCTTCTCTTGGAACTCCTGAAAAACAAAAACAAAACATGTAAATGGAAACTGTCCAACCTCCGTTCAGTGCGCTTCCTTGCCAACGCAGGATTTTTGCAGAAAAACTACTAGACAAACTTGTGCACTTAGTTGAAATTTAGATGAGAACCGGTTGCGATCTGTATCAGTCTCAAACTGTTTTGGCCGGTAAACCTCTTTTTTTTTGCTCAGCAAATGTTCTGTGTGCTTGGTAAACGTCAGTCAAACGTAGTTATTTCATGTAGCTATATTAATTTGTAGATATTTCATGGAGGGCTGTGTAGATTTCTGTGATTTAAAGCAAACCAGAAGTTTAATATTTTGAAAGAACTGTTCGGAAGCAGAAACTAAATCCTTCTTACTGGCAACTGATTACTAAAAAGCTGACCACCATTTGCAGCTATTAAAGTTGTTCAGAAATTACAAACATTTTCAAGTCCAGCATCTGCAACTTTCGGCGAGGTGTGGGGTATCACCAAAGGCCTTAAATTTAAACTTCATGCTATCTGATGACAAAAGTTGTGGCTGTGACTGGCAATTACATGCGTGCCTCTGGAAGCCACTAGGCTAGCGGCTGACAGCCACCTCCCACAGACATGCATGTTACCATATAAAGCCGCAGCCACTTGATTTGGATACGGCCGGTGCTCACCTCGATTCTCCTGATGCATGCCTCTAGCTCCTGGTCCTCACCGTACTCCGACTTGTAGGCACCGCTCACCATGCGGTCCACGGCCACATGACGCGAGAAGATCTTCTCCATGGCGTCCGAGATCTCGCCCACGCTGCAGCGCAGCTTGGCTGCCTGTGAAGAACACATCAAATGGCATGGAGTGTCTCAAATGTGGGAACGCTAAAAGACGTACCGACGAGAACATTGCTTGGTCCAACCGTGAACACCCTCTGTTCCTTTTTTCCATATATGCTAATGAACAATATTCTACGTGGAACAGTGTTCCAAGAGCTTTTTACTCATAATTCTCCAGTGTTATAGTCAACACCAGTCACAAGACCAGACATTAGACCCTTCACAAGACCAGACATAAGACCCTTCACAAGACCAGACATAAGACCCTTCACAAGACCAGTCACAAGACCAGTCACAAGACTATTCACGAGACCAGTCACGAGACCAGTCACAAGACCAGTCACAAGACCAGTCACAAGACCAGTCACAAGACCAGTCACAAGGCCAGACAATGGCAACGAATGCTTTTGATGGAGTTCATTCTGATTTTGAATTTAGATTGGAGTCTTTGTGTTGGTCATGTGAAAGTCTTACACCTCTGATGGTCTTAGGGTTCTTGAACACTTTTATTTTTTACTCATAAAACATAAAAATTCCACTTATAAACAGCCATTTCATTTGTCATTATAAACCTTACCGATTACATGGACTTAAGGGATTAAGAATTTTGGAATTTTTCAAATCCAAACAAATGTGCGCTAATGTAAAATTAGTTGATTGTATTCCTGACTTACTTGGACACAGAATTCCAATAAGTTTCCTTCCCCGGTCCGTGCACACTCAGTCAGATCATCCAATGCCTTCTGAGCCTGTACACAGAGACATAAACAACCCCCCACACGTTTCCAGGTTTCCAGCTTACTGGTATAAATGGTGAATAATGTACAATCAATGCCAAAGGAACTTAATTTCTCCCTCAACTGCCTTGTGAAAAGCAAAGTACAATTGCATCCAAAGCACTCAATTAGGATCAAGGCTTGTGATGACACTTGTACCAATGGAGGCAAATGACTAGCGGCTGCGACCACTTCCAATAGATGGCCGTGTTAGGCTAGCCGCAGCCAAGATGTTAGGACCTAGCCTACTTCCTTAAAGTTCCCCTTCCCAACAAATGGAGCTAGAAGAGCCACAACACCGCACTCACAGGGAGGCCATGTTTTATCTGGTTTCCTGAATCTATTGTACTCAATCTAATCTGTTAAGTGGAACGGTGCCAGACTATTTTGGATTCCAATCCTCACTTTCAATTGTTTTAAATGTGGCTTAAAACATGTTGATATAATTCATCACAAATGTTAAATCATTCTACACAAAAACCAACATAAATCAGTACTGAACACTTTACTTTGTCACTTTTTATTTTACTCTCAGTTTCAACTCACTTTCAGTTAAAGATGGCCGACACATGAATACAATCTATTAATAGTGGGGCAGAATTACCGCCCAATGTACTGACTTACAGCCTCCTGGTCTCGTGTCTCTCTATTTCTCCTAAGCTTCTCAATCTGCTGCTCTCGCACACTGGTGTTGTCAATGGTCAACACTTCCACAAGTTCCTCCTCCGCCAACTTGTACTTGTTGACCCCAACGATGACCTCTGATCACCACGAAAGAAAGAGCCACAAATGTCAGTCAGATTGGGGTTCTTGATGACCTCTGTCAAAAATGCACGGCACTGTAAGGCACATTTGGAAACAACTTGGGAAATGTGACCAATTCTGAGAGTTGGAAATTGCCGCACGTTACACTGCTGCTTCTGCATGATGATGATGTTAATGGCAGAAAGAGAAAGCTAGCCACAATTTGATATACTTATGTAAAGAGTGCCAAGACAAACAAAAAAGCACTTTAAAAAGTGAGAATTTTATCATTTGACTCTGTCAAGCCAAAAG